GCGGGAAAGAACAATAAAATGGTGAAATCGAAATGAAGACAATAGAACCCGGATATAATCTTCTAGGCGCGTAGAACACTTTCCTAAAACGTTATTCCCTCCCCTACCGAGCAAAGGAGAAACCCGAGAATACGTTTAGAGATACAAAGAAGATCAGCAACGTTTGATTTGCTCCTCAAACGTTGCCCAAAACAGAAAAACCCGAGAAAGAAGATGAACAGTAAAAGATGGAGAAGAAGTAGCAAGTTTCTTCACCAAAATGGCTCACAAATCTCTCAAAATCAAATTAGGTTTCGTATATGAATATTCTCTGACGTTCTTGGCTTTAAAAACACCAGAGACATGATCAAAAGTTGTATTCATTTAGTAGTTTTCATGCGAAAGGCCGCATTTGTTCATATTACAGACATTTAACACGGCCGTGTCGAATCTGACACGGTCCGTGTCAATTGTCTGTGCAAAATTAACACTCTATCAGAGATTTGACACGGTCCGTGTTGCACCTTAACACGATCCGTGTCAAATGTCTGAGAAAAACAACATTTTCTCAGAGAATTAACACGGCCCGTGTTGAACCTAACACGGCCGTGTTTGTAATTAACACGCCCGTGTTACACTGCCCGTGCAGAATTAACACGCCCGTATTACATGCCCGTGCAGAATTTCTGCACTTAAATTTCACTACTAAACACAAGTATATACTTTACAAAATACATGTATATACTTTACCAATTCATACTATATCATTTACGAATATATAACTCCTCCACCATATCCGTAATATATATAAATATGAATCACATGAGAGATTTATTAAATCCATCAATTTACTCTAAAATAAACAACATCATTCTGCGAAGCCCTTGAGAATTCTGTTTTGTGGTTGGAGCCCTACAAACATGAATCAACTCTTTTAGAGAGAGAGAGAGAGAGAGAGAGAGAGAGAGAGAGTTGAAAAAAATGAAGATTTACATTTTTTAAAAAGACAAATTCAATGTAAAAAAGTTTGGAAAGAAATAAAAGAGGGGCCAATTAAATGTGAGACCAAGTAAAAAGAGAGAGGATCTCTGTCTTCTGTCGTGCATCGACATGCATATCTGTAAGAGGAAACCGAGATATGAATGGTCAAATCGGAAAATTAACAGTAATGTTCTAATTATCTAGCCCTTTTTTCGGGGGGTTGCACGATATTTTCATTATTGCTTCATAATTACCCGATTGATATATATATATATAGACACACATTGCATTGGCCTCAAGATGAAAAAAAACAAAGCAAACCACATGGTGGAAATTATGTTAAAAACATAGACCATATATAAGCAATAAATAACATATGGTCTAAAAAATCAAGCATATTAGTTGATTAATTGCTTGTTACTAAACACAAGGATTTTGGATAAATCTTTGTTTTATATGTAAGAACTCATAATTCAACGCGAAGGAGATTCGTATCTCACTATATATGATCCTCTAAAACAAGAAGAAGAGATGACACAATAAAGTAATTCCGTTTATTTTCATTTGTCTTATTCTGTTTTCGTATTTTATTTTTCAATAAATCGTACGTATATAAGTTTTCTTGGTAAATCGTAATCACAAAAATTACAAGGATACGCGTGTGTATACATATATAAATATCGGCGCGTACACATAAACATAAATAGATGGAATTGTAGAGAGGATAGGTCGTCTCGCATAAGTGTGAAAATAAATGAGCCTTTGCTTAAGCACTCTCGTGCACACGTCCCTTTCCTCTCTCTTCTCCGATGCATCGATCCGCGGAAACTTTATTTAATGTTTTTATTAAAAAACACCCTTCTGTTATTGTTTTTTTTTTGTATAACTCTCTTATGTTAGTTATTTTTTTTTATTTTTGAATAATCGGTTATCTTAAACCAAAATCCAGACTAATTGGGAGATCGAGAGTCAACATATAATTTAGATTATATGCTCATTCTTCAAACTTGATTGGAGCAGAACAAACATTTTACACTCAGTTTTATTGTTTGAACTATTTAAGTTTGGATTTTTTTTTGTTATTATTTCTTGATGATACCAGTGTCCAATTCAGATTTGGGACATTCGACATACGGACATAGCTAATAGTTTGTTTTCAAAAATGAATTGTTTATATATCTTATCAAATTTCGGTATTCAAGTAAGGAACTGTGATTATATCAGTGACTGTCATCCAATAATCAGAATTTTTCGTGTTAATGTAATTCGATATGTAATAAGGGTTTTGAATCAAATGCATGCGGAGACAAAAACAATGATAGGATTATTTATGGAAAATATATTCACCACTACAAAAAAACAGTTATATAGCGACGGAAAAATCCGTCGCAAATACAAAGGAAATCCGTCGCAATTAAGAATTTGCGACGGAATGCGACGGACTTATTTCCGTCGGTATAACGCTGTCGCAAACGTATAACGGTCGTTAATCCGTCGCAATTTTTGCGACGGAAAAAACCTGCGTTTTGCGACGGAAAGTGACGGATAATTCCGTCGCAATTTGCGACGGAATTTTTTCCGTCGCATTCCGTCGCAAATGTTTTAAAAAATTTAAAAAAATATATAAAAAAATTATATACGATATATACACATACATATATATTTTCACATATACATACATTCATACACATACATTACACACATACAAATATACATACACATACATACATATATATATACACATATTTTCATATACACAAACACACATACACATTCACACATATACACATATACACATATATACTCATACACATATACATTTTCCAAACACATACACATATACATTTCACAAACACATACACATACATATAAACACACACATATACACATATTCATATACACATACAATCACATATACATACACATACATATTCACATTCACATATATATACACATACACATACATAAACACACACACATACACATTCACACATACATACACATTCACTTACACACATATATAAACCCACACATACACATTCACACATATATATACACATTCACTTACACACACATACACATACATAAACACACATAAATACATCAAACACACACATATATATATACATAAATACATATATATTACCTTATGGGAGAAATTTGGCGATCTTTGGAGAGATTTAGAAAAAAAATTTCGATTTTTTTTTTCAAAATTTTTGAAGTCTGATGAAGAAGACGACTCGTGGTTTTATATTACGTTTTGCGACGGAATTTCCCGTCCCAATCCGTCACAAAATAAAATTAATTTACGCGCCCAAAATTCAAAAAATTTCGTCGAAAAACGAAACCAAATACATTGCGACGGAATATTCCGTCGCAATCCGTCGCAATTTTTATTTTCCGTCGCAAATAATCTATTTCTTTGTTGTGACAGAATTATCCGTCGCAAACCGTAGCAAATTGCGACGGATTTTGCGACTGTTTGCGACGGATAATTTTTTTCCACATTCTGTCGTAAAATCGTCACATTCCGTCGCAATTTTCTGTGCGACGGAAATTTCCGTCGCAAATTCCGTCGCTATATGCATGTTTTTTTGTAGTGCACGAGACATAAATTAGAATTTCTAATAGATATCTATCTAAAACTTATATTTGCAACGGCCCGTTTCATCGCACGGTTGGCAACTTACGTACAAAAATCATGCACATACATAGGCCGTATATATATCACATTTACATATATAGAAAATATCTCTCATCAACAAGCTATATTCTCCACCAGTCTTTCCCTCCCTCTCTCTCTCTGTCCGCCCTTTCTCTCTCTGAACTTTAACCTATTTTTTTTTATAATATGTGATTTGCCAAGGTGGTGTTCGAACCTGGATGGAGCACTCTTTACACATATCCACTTACAGTTGAGCCAACCACCATTGGCAACTTTAACCTAATTAGAGAGCACTTTAATCAACGAACAAGAAGAAAACCATATCATGGTCAAAGCCGGGAAGAATATATATATATATATCAGTTTCTTTCTGATCAGTCAACATATCGATCGAATCGAAATCCAAAACGTCTTCAAAAATTCGCCAGCTGAGAGCAAAAATAAGTGTCGATGCCGAACGTGTCCATATCGTCGTCCTCAGCTCCAGCTTATCCGACGGACCACTTTGCATCTTCCGACCAGCTCTGTTACGTCCATTGCCACTTCTGCGACACTTTCCTCGCGGTAATCTCTATTCATCTTCCGCTATTTTCATCCACTCCGTACCATCCATCCTTTTTAGGGTTTTTTTTTTGAAGAAAATTCTCAGATTTTGGAATGTTTCGTCCCTTTCTTTCTTTCGTTCCCTGGTCAGTACTCGCTATAATGATCGAATCACTTTCGAGTATATATATAGGTGAGTGTTCCTTCGAGCAGCTTGTTGAAAACGGTGATGGTTCGATGCGGTCACTGCGCCAATCTCTTGTCTGTGAACATGAGAGCCCTTTTTCTTCCTCCTGTCTCCAACCAGCTTCATCTCCCCCACTCCTTTTTTACTCCTCCTCCTCCTCATCTCTTGGTACATACACAAGCTCATGAAA